AGGCGGAATCACCGATAGTTCCGTTTAATTGGGTTGGTCGTTCAAGCTGCGTGCGCAAGCATTCCCACGGCATTGATCCGACCATCCCAACTAGGTGACCAATCATTCGCGCCGATAGGTAAGAGGAAGATTCGGGCACAGAGTTGGGGGAAGACAAAGAGGTGAGCACGGAGGAGTGCTCTTAGCAAGAAGGGAAGATGGTGCGTAGGTGCAGAGTGGAAGCGAGCTTACACGACATGCAAAAATTCAAAATGGTCGCCCGTGCCTTAATACAAAGGAAATTTGAATGCCGACCACAGTAATTCCTAACTGTTTCTTGGATTTTTCCGTGCGGTAGCTAACTGTCCACGCGGAGAACCAACAAGGACAGGGGCAATTCCAAAAGATAGCCTCCCCAAAATTGAAAAATGGACCCTGCTTTTCTTGATCAACTAAAATCCGTGCTTCGGGGCCTACTTCAACTTTTTCTCTGAAGGGTACGTGAAGCCGCTAGGTACGGATCCTAGCTTATCACAAGGCTTCCTGGATAAATCTCTACAAAAAATGAACTTTAGTCCTCACTTTCACCGATGAGTGGGGATTCTCCACCGCAATGTCACCACCCGAGTGCAAATCAATGGTACCCTAGCGTTAGAAATCAGATTACACCGCTCGGTTCGATAAGGGGACCCCATTGGCCCCTTCCTCTTCTTGATTATAATGGAGGCCCTGTCAGCAAATTTGAGGCAGAACGAGGACCTCAACTGCATCGGCATCACACGGATCCCAGAGGATGTTATCCCGGTGTGCTCCCTCGTTGCTGATGACCTCACAATTAGTACGGTGAAAGCCAACGCGGGCAACATGGAAGAGATAAAAAACTAGATGGACACAATTTGCAGTGTGTCCAGTATTTTGGTGCATTGGGGAAATAAAACTTTGGGGTGATGTTTGCAGCACCAAGGGGGCAGACCGCCCAAAGCCCCCAATATTACATGGCTCCAATTGGAAGCCCCCGTGCAGTAGCTGGGGGTGTCTATGACAGCACTGGGTAAGCAGGTAACTAATGATGAGTGGGTGGAGAACTTCGCCCTGACAAAATTAGCCCAATGGAACAATAAACGTACATCCTTATTTGGTCGCCTTCCAACTCGTGATTAACAATGTGGTATTAGCATCTACATGGTATAAGTCGGTCGTATGGCCACTGAGTGAAAGGGCACTCAAATCACTCAAAAGACACGTGGCAGCCTTCCTTTGGAGAAGAGAATAAAAATTCACATGCCATTAGCTGTGTCCCCTGGGACTCGGTAATCCAACCCAAGGCCAATGGTGGCCCGTCAGTGAACTTGACATTAAACATCCCTCCACCCAACAGCAGGCGTTGAGCATACAATGGATAAAGTTGTTTAGTTTTTCAACCCATACCCCCTGGAGGTGCTTGGCCCTGACACGGATCAGCCGCCTGGTCCCAGAAGCCGCACCTACGGTTGACCCTCTCACGTGGCTTGAAGACAGATACTGGAAAATTCCCCGGAAGGCCTGTGGGCCTGTGGCACAACTCGGACAAAGGTGAAACTTGGAGAAAACCTAGTACATGATGGCTTCTGCCCATGGCTCCTCAAGACTTAAGAGGATGCTCCCCTTACCAGACCGAGAACCGCCCACAGCAGCGGAGGAGACTATTCACCAGCCCCTCTTCGGCAATCGCTGGATCACAGACTCCCATGATGAAGTCATGTGCAGTTCTAACACACCATGGAGAGGGTGGGTGAAACAAGGGATTTAATTGGTAGGGGACCTGGGATAAAGCAGCTAACGACTGGAAAACACCCGAGCAATTCCGAGGAGAGTTAAGATATCAAACCGAATAGCTACTGGAGGCCTTGCCTATAGCTTGGTGCACCACGCTCCAAAGGGGCCCGGTTCTGGAAGAGGGGGACTGGATTGGCCTGAGGGGAAGGACTAAACAAGTTGGAATGATCCACACGGTACACTCGAACATTGTGCCAGTGGAATCCTAAGCCCTAGAAACAGCAGGTCAATTGAAAGGTGGGCGAGCCCACTTTGAGTGGATAGACAAGGACCAACTCTTTCGGATCTGAGTGACGGGTGAAGGGGATGAATGGCGAGCGTTTCAGCCAGACACCTCGATCACCTCACTTCCATAGAATCCACTGGTCCCGCAGGACTAGAAGTGGGCACTACCCACACGCCCTAGTAACCCTAACATCACAAAAGAAGAAATAGCTTGGTAAACTAGACGTTAAAGCACACACCCATAGAATGCTGAGGATCAAATGGAACCTGCGGGATATAGTAAATGGCAGGTGCATCACATATCTCAACATAGACTGCAAAACTGCTCAGACCCATCCCATGGTTTCATGAACAAAAGCTTAAACCTGCCAAGCTATCCTTATTGCAATGGCAGAGCCTGCCCACTAACGACTGGATCGTCAACCATACTCAATTGGAGCAATAAGGTAGGGGCCGTAGGGCCTTTTCGTGGTGCAAGGGATACTTGCACTGCTTCCTCCCGTGCCAAAAAAAGTGGAAACAATCGAACATATCATTTCTGCAATGCCCCTCCTCAATTCTCACATGCGGCTGGCAAAATAGCATATGGCTGCACATAGTCCCCAGGATAGTCTGGCCGTGGAATTGGTGAAGCATCCTGGCAGGACACTAGCCAGCCTTCCAAGGCGACGAGCAGTGCTATGGGCATTGTGGTGACAACGTTGCTTCTTCACAATAGAAATAGCCCGGCTGGAGAGAGGAACTTATCAGGCAACAAATCCAAACTGGGCCATGAAACAGAAATTGGACCTTCTCCATAATTATACACTGTGTAGCACACCGAACATGTTCGGCGCCCCACCGAGCGGCCAAACATGTTCAGACGACCGGCCGAGCGGGAACCCAACATGTTCGGCTGAGCGCAAATTAGGGGGCTGCCGAGCGCGTCCTCCTGTGTGTGTAATGTGTGGAGTGTGTGTGGGTTGTCGGTGGCGTGTGTGTGGTGTGTGTGTGTGTGCGTGTGTATGTTGAGGAGTCATGAGCAATGACCCCCAGGGCCCCCCAACCCGCCTCCTGATGAGTCGGTGAAACTCCGACGAAACAGTTTGCCACAGCCCCTCGTTTGTTGTCCTCTTCTCCCTCTCTGCCTACGGTTTACCGGGCAGCTCTGTTTGACTAAAAATATATATCTAAATAAATAAATAAAAATGTTCGGGCTCGGTACCGAGCGTTCAGGTTCGGTCACCGAGTCTGAGCCCGACGCTACGCAGATTATACAGTAAAAGACATTAGTAACACCATCAGACAATTTTGCAGGAACTGTCTGGGGGGAAACCGAGAGAGGCGAGAGGGCTTGATGGCTTTAGTGATCTGGCTAGGGGACTCACAGGAAAAACAACAATACGAGGAATTGAATGGGGCAAGGCTGGACAAGTTTGCGAGGGACTATCCCTTTATCTACAAGGATTGGATGACAATCGACCCCAAATTTCCAATTGCAGCCTGCAACAGATTTCCCCGACCCTTTCCCATCACGTGGTCTTTCGCTGGTGGAACGGTTTCGAGGAGGAAGGGTATTTGTCCTGACAATTTTGTGGACCCTATTAAGCGACGCCCTCGTTGCACAGGGTGCTTGGGTCGTTAACACAATCGGGGTTCATGTGCCAAATTCCAAAGTTACCCCTGTAATATCAAAATTTTAGGAAGAGCTAAAAAAAAAAAATTGCAAGAAAACGAGGAAAATCCGTGCCTATTCAAACGGTTCTTACTCCGAGGGGCAATCAGGCAAGAAGGGACAAATTGGGCCTAGAACATATGCGGTTAATCTTCGAAGTCCTTTTCAGACAGACACTGCCAGATCCGTTAGCCTCTTCACCATTGAACGACGGAGGGCAATGGGCCACCAGGACTCCCATGTTCGCACGAAAAGTGCCTGCGTGGTGGGTGTGTTCCAGGAGACTCAACCCCCCTCGATACCCCAATACCAAGTGTCGCCACGAGAACGAGTTCCCATTTTTACACATTAAACTGGGGTTTCCACGTGACATGGATAGCCAACCAAGGAAGCACCGTGAGGCCAGTGCAAAGGAGGATCAGTTGAGGGGAGAGTGAAAACAGTCCAGCAAGACAAAGTTAACCTTTTCTCCTCCAAAGTGACAAGCTTTAGACAAGTTATAGGAGTGAACCCGATCAGTTCCCAAAATCTATCTCCGGACATCCGCGCTGCAGTAGACTTCGTCTTCACCATCTGCGATACGGAACTCATGGAGACTTATGATGGAACGGCGTTAGGTTCGAACACGGACAGTTGCCCGCATTGAGACTCAGACAAGTAAACTTCGACTTCATATAACTCCAAATCAAAACCCGGTTCACTTTGCCCTGATGCGAACCAAAATTGCAAAAAGATAAATATACTAATATAGACAAAAATGCAGAAAGGACGATTACGGCTACGCAAAGGCAGATATCGTCCCATTGATCCATTCACGAACACGAACAAACTAGTCTATATGCCCAGGACTACTTCACCCCCTCAACACATGCAAGCGGAAGAGCGTAACGGGAGAAAATTGCAACCATACATTCATAATTTCATATACACATGCAACGAGGAGAGTCTGACTGTGAGTATGCTCGCTGCTAATCTGCTTCATTCAACCTGAGGGTGTGTGAGCAATTTTTTTGCACCTCTGTCCCTCTGCACCTGAAATCATTGCAGGCAAATACATTCCTGTATTCTGCCAGATCAACCATTCCCCCCCCCCCCCCCCCCCCCGCCCGGGATATATCGTATCTTTTCTTTGACAATGATAACTGCTAAAATCCTGCTCCAACATCACAATATCATGTGCGCTGGTTCTTTTGTTTCTTACCACTCACATCATGTTGGGGGTTGTGCACTAAGACCTTCCCCGGGTTCCCCTCCACACAACACACTATCATTATGACTGTATCAGACAGTAAAGATAGCTTGTATACATTCATGATTCATGATCAGGGTGCATCAAGCTCCAAAGATGTTCACGAGCACCTTCTGGGGTGTAGCACAGACGGGAAACAGACAATGGGGTGGAAAAATAATTAATATGTCATCGTGTATAGTGATGAAGAAGCCCAAGTACTTTACCCATCACCAACTTAAACGTCCTCCCGTCTAATTGGAAGGGCAATCAATGCTCCCTGGCCAATCACTTGCTTAAGGCAACTCTCCTACTCTCCTGCTCTCCTGCTCTCCTGCGCTCCTGCTCTCCTGCTCTCCTGCTATGACCCTATGATGAATATGCCATTGACAACCTCATGTCGAACAGAGAGATGCTGGCTTTTCCCCCATGTGTTGCTCACCATGATTGTCATGAGCAGGAGATGCAGCAAAATAGGAGGAGGAGGAAGAAGGTGATGAAGAAGGTGGTACACATTATCTATTCGTCAAATAATATAGATAATTAATTAATTAAATAATAATAATAATAATAATAATAATAATAATAATAATAATAAGAAGAAGAAGAAGAAGAAGAAGAAGAAGAAGGAAGAAGGTGATGAAGAAGGTGGTACACATTACCATCATCATCATCAGCAGCAGCAGCAACAGCAGCAGCAGCAGCAGCAGCAGAAGAAGAAGAAGAAGAAGAAGAAGAAGAAGAAGAAGACGACGACAACGAAGAAGAAGAAGAAGAAGAAGAAGAAGAAGAAGAAGAAGAAGAAGAAGAAGAAGAAGACGAGGACGAAGACGAAGACGAAGACGAAGAAGAAGAAGAAGAGGAAGAAGAAGAAGACGACGACGAAGAAGACGACGACAACGAAGACGACGACAACGAAGACGACAACGACGATGACGACGACGACGATGACGATGACGACGACGACGACGAAGAAGAAGAAGAAGAAGAAGAAGAAGAAGAAGAAGAAGAAGAAGAAGAAGAAGAAGAAGAAGAGGAGGAGGAGGAGGAGGAGGAGGAGGAGGAGGAGATGGTCGGAATGCACATGGTGTGTTGCAGAGGATCAGCAACAAAGACCTCAGGACCCCTTCTGAAACTATTGCCCACTGACATAATAGCAAGCTAACCGCAGGTCAGAGCCAGGAAGCCAGGGCCCAGAGGTGCAGATCACTGCCAGGGAAATGACCCAGTGGCGAACAATGGCACCTATATAGGCCGCCGCTCTGGGCCCTCCACCATCGCAGTGGCCAGCATTTTTTTTTTTTGTTTTTTAACACACGTCTGGGTGCCCAGCATTGACATAACAGCAAGCTCCCCAAGTCCACCCAGCCAGCCAGCCAGCCAGCCAGTCGTCCAGCCAGCACCCAGAAGTGCAGACTACTGGGAGGGAAGTGAACCCAGTGTCTCGATACAGTCTGCCCGCTTCCGCACCATTGCAGTGGCCAGAGGTTTCACGATGGATGATCAGGCCAGAATTTGCATCCCCCCATAGGAAATTCACAATGTAGAGAAGCCGACTTCGTTTTTTGGGAAGCATGCATTCACAGAAGCCGAGAGAGGGAGAGAGAGACAGTACGCAGACCACATGCCAAGAACAGTCAGAGCCACATGCCACCACACCTGTTAGGTGCACTCTACCACGGACAGACAGACCCACTTCTTGAGGGAGACAGCTGTAACCTTCACCTCCCTCCTCTCTCCTCCCTCCTCCCTTTTCCCTCCTCCCTCCTCCCTCCTCCCTCCTCCCTCCTCCCTTTTCCCTCCCCCTCTGCCTCCTCCTTCCTCGCTTTTCCCTCCTCCCTCCTCCTTCCCTCCTTCCTTACTCCTTTGTCCCCCCCTACCTTGCACAGCAATGACACATCGATACTCTATACTGACGGAGCATTAATTATCATTACTCCTACAGGCCTTGACAACTGCATCCAGATCGGGCTCGTGACCTGCCTCCATGTCCTGCAAACACAGAAAACACAGTTGCCATGTCAGAAGACTCAGAACAGAGTGTTGCATACTGCGCTGTTTGCAAACTGAGCTGTGGGAGGAGAGCGAAGAGGGTGGTGTGGCTTGCACACAAACAGATGCGCGACCTCCTGAATGCAGCTGTTGTGCTCTGCCAACTGAGCTGGGCCGGTGGATCCAGTGCCCTCCTCATGAAACGTACACAAACTATCTTTTTGTTTTGGGGGCCTGATACAGTCATGATGAGGGTGGATTGTGTTCAGGGTAAGACTCTAATCTGCAGAAATTTTCACCTTGGAAATGGATGCACCACATCCGTCTTCTCGTGGGATGCGTGGAATCCAATATTTCCCGTGCCACATCTTATTTCACAAAATTTATGCTCTTTATAATTTGACAGTCTACATGATCAGCCCCTTTCATCTTTTGATAGGCTGTACGATCTAACGCCACCAGAAGCCTGAAGAATCTGTGAAGATAGAAAGAGGTGCTGAGTCCTTTGAGCACGTGTAAGTTGTAACCATAAAGCCAGAAACTAAAGCGATGCTTGAAAAAATAGAAAAAAAACTTTAAAAAGTATCATTGTAGTGATTAATCTTTGTCTAGCTAGCGAGGTTTAAGTGATAGACACATCACACATAGGCATATTCACTCAGAGAGCGCATACACACAACGCAACAAACAATGATTGCGAACAAAGAAAGAAATCATTCGGAAACCTTCGGTACAATCCGCAACCCCAAGAACCACCAGTCAGACTCCCTACCCTC